ACCTTAACCTCTACCAATATCATTTTATTTGTTTAATCTCATCTTTGGCTTCAGAATATTAAGGAAAGCAGAAGTAGGCTCTGTTAAAAGTGGTAACAAGTGCAGTTGTAGTTCTACTATGATATTTTCTGAATTATGTCAGTATCATGCCACCTCACTAATAGAAGCTACATACCTAACTGCCCATCAAAAAACCTGGGACAAAACACTGCCATCAGAAGTCTTTTCTACCTTTGCATATCTCTTGACTGTCAGCCTCCCAGTTTCAGTTTAGAACAAAACCAAAAGAGAAAAATAAATGGACCTTTGGATTAACACAGAGACTTTGTCCTCTGCCTGTAGTAAGGAATATAAAAAGTGCCGTACCAAGAATGTTTTAGAAAGGGTTTTCCAGATCTGCAGTCACCTACACAACATCCATTTACTTGAAAAAAAAAAATCTAAGGGCACTCAAGCCTGTGTCTGTTCAGAGACCCAGAAATTTGGAGAAAAAAAAAAAAAGTTAATTAGGCAAATGTGGGAAGTCTGCCACAAATCTCCCACTCAGCCAAGATGGCACACTGCAAAACCCTTTGTGCAATCCAAGCACCCAGTACTGGCTGCTCTTGCTCATCCCAACAGGCTACACTGGACCAAAGCAGAAGTCACAGCAGTTCCCACACAATCCCAGGCTCCCCTTCCTGGCTGGATGCTCAGGGCTAGGAGGCAGCAGCAGCCAGGAATGCCCTGGGGACTCCTGCTGAGGGCTAATGCAAAGTAACTGGTACTGAAAACACAAAAGGTAAAGCAGCCGTCCTACCTGCCCCTGTGAGTCAAGATCTCTCTACTCATACCACAGGGCAGCATTTTTGGCAGTGTTTTTACCCCCTCTCCCCCCCCAGCCTAAAGGAAAGAATGTGTATGTCCCTGTGGAACACAGCATCAAGAGAACCCAGCTGTATATTTATGTACAACAGCAGGAATGCCACCCTGCCACGGTTGGTGTCTGCAGGTGTTTCCAGGGGTGAAGGCCACCTGGGCACAGGGTTTGCTAGTCTTCATTCTAGCCTGGGTGGTTTCTGCTGGGATTCTTCCCAAGGGAAGCCAGGGAGGAAACCAGTTCATTTAGGGAGGCGTAGGCAGGTGTAAGACTCAATCTAAATGTTTAGCTTGAGGGCGTGGGGGTCAATTTTGTTAGGGACACGACACTGAGGAGGGAGTTAGCCATCACCTTAATGTCACCCAGTAGATAATGCACAACATCCTGTTTCCCTGAACACCCTGTAATCATACAGTAGGACACAGCCACCAGAAAGCCTCTCCCAAGGCTGCTCTTTAGCCCAAGCCCTCCATCATTCTTCACCTGTTAAATGAAAGAGGCGCTAATAGCACTGACCAGACAGGCTGCAAACCCCTTCAGTCTCACCATCTGTCTGTGCAACAAGGTGCAACATAAGCAGAGAATGCCACCCAGTTATGTTTCTCCTCTACTATGAGCAATACTAATCCAGCTAACAACTGAGACAGGCAGGGCACGTGTGGAATAATAATCCAAGATCTGATGCAATTTCTTAGGCGATGTTTGTTTCCTTCTGCCTATTTCATTGCTTCATTTTTGTTTAGTTGGGTTGGTTTCAAGAAAAATAGAAACATTTCCTTTGGGATCACTGAAAACTAAGAGCAATGAAGCAAATACCAGCCAGACAGGCTTATATGTGCAGCTGTTAGCAACAACGAAAGAAGGTGGCTTTAATTATACCCGTTGATGTATTACCCCATGGCACTGCAGAACAAAGTGTTTGGGAGCCCTATAGAGAGAATGCAGAAATAAAGAAAGTGTGCCTCAGAGCCAAGAGCAAGCTGTATCTCCACCTTCCAGAACAGAAAAAAATCTTATTTCTTGCAAACACTTTATCTGCTAAAATGGCACTGAGGCCAGTTGCAAATTCAGTGCCTGCAAGCAGTGATCCAAACCTCCTGCATCTGGCAGTCCCAGCAGCCATGTCATGCTCTTGCAAGTGCTGTCACTACGGTCTTTGACTCTCTGTTCTGATTTGCACTCTGCCCTTATCATGAGCGTGGAAGACCTTGGTGACATGGCTGGACAGAGATGTAACGAGCGCTGGGACGGAGAGGGCACCTGGCACCTGCCTGCAAAATTGATTATGTTAAGGTATGTGTGTGCCTGCACGTAGATTTCACTGCTCAGGTCTTTGCTGAAAGTGGCCACGTAACTGTGCTGAACTCCCTCACACCACCAGTCAGTACTTTACCTGGCCAAAAAAAGGTGCTACGTTAAGCAACAGTGGACTGTTCCCTATTGATAACACCTTCTCCTCTCTCCACCAGAGAGCTCTTTCCCGCTGCTCCTCCTCAAACTCCTGCACAAACAGCCCTGTTACAAAGTATTACCTCGCACTTCGTCAGGAAGTCCCTGAGATACAAAGCCTGTTGGCATGAGAACAAATCTTAGTGTCCTACCTTGTCTTTAACTCACTCACTTGCACATACCTGTGCAAGCAACCTGCCACATTAAATAAATCTCCCCTCCCCAGGGTTCAGCGCATGCCTAATTTCAGATCAGACGACTCTAAGAGTCACACCTTGAACATTAGTTTGTGAGGGTTGTTTGAAAGAAGCTTCAAGTGAAAGGACTTTGGCAAATGCTCTCTGAACCGTTCAGAGACATCAGAAGCCCAGTACAGACATGCATGTTCTGTAGGACTAGCATTAGAAAAAAAAAAAAATCTATACCACAGCTCCAGTTTATATACCAGCAGTAGAAGATCACCTCCTGGAAACCTGTTTCAAAATCATCAGGCACTAGTGGGATAAGTGTGTGAGGGATGAGGGTGCTGCATAGACTCCAAGAGAGCCCACATCACACAGCAGGGAACTCACAGTCCCTTCCACAGGGGAAGCTGCAAAGCTGCCCCTGTGAGCACCACCAATTCACACAGCATCAGGTCCAGGCCAGAGTTAGAAAACAGAGGGTATTACAGTGTTTTCAATCAGGCTCATCAGGTAATTAGCCCTCCTGCTAACTGTGGAAAACAACTGTATAAAAGATGGTGCTTAGAGGTTTTGGGGGTGTGTTAGAGCTGACATCCACTCCAACTGCCCTCTTAGGGTCCCAGAGTCACTAGAGCAAACTCCCCAGAGTGGAGAGGATTTGCATCTCTCACACCACACTGTCAACAGCAACTGAAGGGCTGACCCTCCTTGCACATGAATCTAAGCGCTACTAAGTATAAATACATAAATACTTCTAAGATTAGAGGGTGATGTTACATGCATTCTGTCAGAAAGCAAATCACACAGCAGGAAAGGGCAGCAGGGACCCCCAAGTTGGAGGCTTTGTAAATGACCATAACGAGGACAAACAGGCTTTGTTCTCCGAAAGCCTCACCAACAATGGGCATTCTGTCATTCTAATGACACAGAGGACTGATTTTCTAATTACACATCTGAGATATTTTATTACAGAATTATGATCTATGATGACTGGGTCTGAGTCCTGTTTTTGCAATTTAGTCAGCTAATCTTTACAGTACAGAGAAACATGAGCCTTCTGACTTTCAACTTGTACAATACTGTGTATGCAAAACACTTCTAGGAATCACTACTCCCCCTCAAACCTTACCAGCAAGGAGATCTTCTGCTTATGGTTTTGCTAGTTTGCCTCTAAATGTCCATGTCTGACGTTCACTGTATGTTTCAGTACAAAACACCAGTATCTGCTCCTTTTGAAAGGGTTAACTTGCAGATGCCACTACAAGCACAAAGTGTAAAATCCACACCAGAATACATGAAACTATTCACATCACATCAAGTCAAGTATTTTTCTTCCTGCAACCTGCCTGAGACATGCTCAAATGAAGAGAGCTAGGAAGAACAAGAGCTGTAAAACCAAGGACAATTTTTACAAAGCACTAAAATACTACCTACATTCAAAGAGCTCCACGTGCCTGGATAAAGGCTGTGGGTGAAGACAGTCAATGGCTGTTGTCCCTGCTGTGTATTCCTGTTGTATTTCCTTCTAAACCATTACTTTCCATCACTTCCAAGAGACTCGTGCAGCACTAAACACAGGAGCCAATATAATCTTCCAGGAAAAAAAAAAATCCCAAAAAACTTTTACAAATAATAACAAGCAACAAGCAACCTGCCCCATTTCCCAAGACCGGGCAGAGTTCTTTCCTGTCCCAGGTCTGCTGCAAGCTTCCCATGCGATCTCATACTGGCCACTCATTCATCTGCACTGGAGAGGAAGGAACACCAGATCTTCTCAGTCAAGATAAAAATGGGAGGATTCTAATTGTTTGTGGTAAATAGGGCTGCGCAAACTCCCAAAACAAAAAGATTTTCTTCTGGGCCTTGCCATTCAAAATCCTGCCAGACAATAGAAGAGAATGAACTATACTACACCAAGCAGTCATATAGAAGCAAAAAAAAAAAAAAAAAAAAAACCCTCCAAAACAGGGAACTCTCCAAAAAGAAGGGAAGTGGATACTTCATTGTCAGATTATAACCAGTTTCAAGTTTGAAAACTGGAGGCCAACACCAGCTTTTCCTCATCTGTGTTCTTCCCGCACACTTCCCTCTGGAGCCCAGGGGTTAGGACACTAAACTGCAGCTACATTGTGTGCATTGCTTGACAAAGTATCAAAATAACGAGTGCTTTCCAAAAAGACACACCACTTGGACTCCTTTGAGAAAGCCAGCATTCTGACTAGCTTCAGTGAGTTGAGGATTTTAATTTCACGTCCAGAACAGCTGCTGTTCTTGGCATTGCACACCACCCCTTTTCACTTCCACCAAATCAGCTAAGGAGCACAGCATACAAAGCTCTGACACGGGAGAAGCTTAAGGCACTTCTACAGGACTGGAAAGGGTTTGATGAGCTGTAAGTTATAATCGTGCACATTCCCATTTTGGTACCTTTCTGAAATTTACACACATGCAGGATTAACCAGACCAGAAATGCCAGATGTAGGTGGTGCTCTTTCCCATGCTGTTACCTAAGCCAGAGGAGTTTCCCAACTTGCGTAGTTTTCCCAGGACCTTCTGGACATCCTTTATACTCGTGTCCTGTTGGCTGTACAGCAGTAACCTCTTGGCATCCGAGAACAGGCGGGAAACACTGGGGAGGGGAAAACAGAAAAACATACAGCAGTCATCAGCTCTGTGAGCCAGCATCCACAGACACAGTTTTACATACCAATTCCAAACTCAAGTCTTTTTTCAGTTATGCCACTCCAGCACAGAAAACCCTGTCTCCACTGGGACAATCCAAGGAGCCTAATAAAGGATGCCTGCTAAAGCAAGGTCAAACTAAGTTACATTGGGAACATCCAGGCATTTGAAAGCATTTTTAAGACTGGGACAGAGAGGGACTCCTGCTGCCTGTAAACTACTTCTCCTTGGAAGCACAATAATTTAAGTATGTCCTTGCTCCTTTCAAAGGTTTCTCCAGGTTGCAGACACATTATACGCTGCGTTAAGCCTAACTCACCTGACAGTATGAATGTAGCAAGTCAGACAAGGTACAGGGAAGCTGGCCATAAAAGAGCATCTTAGAAAGCCATATCTTTTTATGGGCCAAATTCTGGGTCGAGATAAACAAATGGACTCAGTCCTCGCCCAGGGAGAGCTTTTCATTCACCAAGAGCTTCAACTGCTTGGACTTGTGGATATTGCACAACTACCAGCTGTCAGCTACTCCCTCTGAATTTGGTAGCTGAAGAATTTGGGACTTCGGTGGTGGTAGAAACTGCAAAACCCTTAATATCATAGGGTTTTACAACTAGTTGGTGACTTCCAAATATCCCTTTTCATTATGTTCCCCCCCAAGAACAGAGATGAGGCAAGAGCAGAGAGACTCACATGGAGGCATTGAAGTTCCCAACAATACCAGGGGATTCCCCAGGAGTTGGGTAGCGGAAACAAGGGTTGTTGGCATTGCAGATGATCCCCTGTATCCATGGCAAGGTGCCTGCTGAAGGCATAGCTTTATTTGGAAAATGACCTAGAACAGAAGCACAGGAGTTAGGAAACAAGCACATGATAGAAGCCTCTACTACACAGCATTGTATTGGAAGAGCAGTGTTAACTTTGTGGTGGTTATTGCAGACCTGCCAACAGTAAGAAGTGCTGAGCTCATATTAGGTTCTCCACACTTCCCCAGCCTCCTCAGCTGAAAAACAAACCCTTGCTAAACCTGTAGGAGAAGCTCTTTGCTGCTCTCAGCTGTGCAGCATTGTTTTTGGCCATGCTGATGGGAATAAAGTATTTCTTGCTGATTAATGCCTAGCAACAGGCAACTTCAGAAGACTGGCAGTGGTGAGCTCATGCACACATACATGCTTCCAAACCAGCCATGTTGCTCTGGATTTACAGTCTTAACCAACGCAAGGATTTGGATTGAGGCCACAGGGACAGCCCTAGTCAGGGTTCTGAATATCCATAATATTTCTATTCAGTACTTTTGGTTTTCAGAATCTCCTCCCTCCAATTACACACACTGTAAAGATCAAACAAAGGGTGGGAGCCTACACTGTTTCCCTGAGATAAGTGTGTCCCATATTGGCTTGGCTTCCAATAAATCTTATAACTTTAGAGGCTCTAAAACATTTAGCCACCTGCCTGCCATATTTCAGATCTTTTTGCTCAAGTCTGAATCTTTCTCCTATGGAACTACTGAAGTCGTAGGCCAGAGTTTACAACTTGTTTAAGCACAAAGCAGTAACATCCTACTCATGGCAGATCTCCATCAGTACACAGTTCAGGTGCCTGCAAGTCCCTCATCCTCCAGTGAAGGGGAAGAAAGGCTTCCCCTGTATAAACCTGCACCTTAGATGAGCTGTCCAGCCACTTTCTGTAAAGAGCTCCCTTCCTCACCCCCAAACTAGGGAGGGAAGCCTGGAGGAAGGTTGTCCCCTTCCTCAGTATCTCACAGCTCAAGATTTGGCTGATGAGATTCACATTCTCCTCTCTGTGCCCATCTCGTCCTCTCAGCATGCCTCAATCACACAAGGGGCTGGCTCCCTTCCTCCACAGCCTCAGTGGAGGTACCAAAGCCCCAGGAGGAAGAAATATTACAGCAAGGCTGGTTAAATGTTCATGGCCGAAGGAAAATGGGAGTATTATCAGCCCTCCTGGGAGAAAGCCAAGGACTCTGTCCAGGAGAAAGGTGGAGGAATCAAAAGTTCCTTTTTTCCAGTACCCATAGAGTTCTTGTTCCTAGTTCTCTGCTTAAAATAGAAGAGCTGTTTACCTGGGCTCTCTGGCTTTTGTTTCATTTTCATTTTTTGCTCTTCTTGGCTGAGGGGGCTTGGGAAGTGGGAGGGAGAAAAAATTGCTAAGACTTTCAGATTCTTTTTTTGTAAAATTTCCAAGAGAATCTCCTTCTCTCTCCTCCGTGCCTTTCATCTTACATGGTTAGGAACTCCAAGAAACTATTAAGAGCGATATGGAAAGAGAAACTGTGCACAACACTTTATGGTAACTTTTTACACATTAGTGATGCATGTGACAGCAGTTTCTCCAAGAGCAAAGCAGGAATCTGCTGGTTTTAAATCAGAGAAGCTACACAGAAAACACAGTGCAACAGCACACCATTTTCAATTACATTGCTGCAAACATCTAGCTTTTCAGTGGAGAATAAAGTCCCTTGCTGTCAGCATCCCTCCCCTTGTTCCCAGTAAAGTGCATTTTGAATACCTTAGGGGGTCACAGGAACAGAACAGAAAAGTAAAGCTCTAGAAGACACAAGTCAGCTCAACAGAGATCTAAGAGATCTTCTCTGACTAGTCAGGTGAAAGCCACATAACTATCACTTCAAAGTTAGCAAAATATTCCTCCATGTTTTCAGAAAGAAGCTCCTCACACTAAGCCAAGCTGCTAGAAATAAGAAATCCTAAGAAGATAATCAGTCCAATCCTTGGTTCTTCTCAAACAAGAAAAGAACTAAAAATCTAACTTGTTTGATGAAAAACACTACCATTAAAATACTGAGGTTATCTGGAGGCTACAAAGCACTTGCATGCACTCTGTTACTGTTATCACCAGGCATTACCTGCAAGAGATTTCATAACAGCATACAGCACTGCTACTACAGATAACAATCTTACTTCCCTCAAGGCATCCACAGAGCTGCCAAAGAGTTTACCATAAGCCCAAAGCTTCTTTATTTCTATCTCTGCTCACAGTTCAGCAAAAATTGTTTCACTTTAAAACACATCCACATTTGTCAGCTCGCGAGTGAATGTTCAGTGAAACCAATCCAGACAGCAAAAATGTAATTTAGAAACCTATTCACAGAGCCTTTTAGAAAAATTAAGGAGTTTATCATAAAAGTTAATTAAAAAGTTACCAGATGACCTATACTCCACAATTCCTGGGGACACTAAGAAAGCAGACAAAGCAATTAACACTCAGCATAAACAGGAAGGAAAAAACGGGATGCAGATGGAAGATTCAAAAATCTACTTGTGACACCAGGGTGCCAGAGCAAATGATTTACAAGGAGGCTACTGACTAAAAAGATCAAGCTACATAGCTCTGTGAAACTGCAGCTCTTGCTTGGTTTGAGTTTATAAACGGCACTGCCCCAGTTGAAATGAACTACTATTGAAGCTGGTAGTTTTTTATACCATCTGAGGAGACTGCTTATTGCTTCTCTTCAGCTTCATGTCTGTATCACAGGTACCTCTCCTAATGCCACTGTAACACTCACTCAGAAAAGGCTGTGTAAAGTATGAGATTTAATTTAGGGAAGGTTCAATTACCCTGCTGAGCACTGAAGAAAGTGAGTTAGGCAGTATATGGGACCAGCAGAGTCCAAAGTGTAATGGGAAACTGCAAACACTAACACCTGAGCTTTAAAAGGACCCTCACACTACCTTGAACACCTAGCAAACAGCACATAATGCCCCGTTTTAAGAACAAAATGCTTCAGAGTGCCCTTCAGAAACATGTTTTGCTGACCCTTAAACCTTACCTTGCAGCAATCAGGCAAAGGAAAGACAAACAAAGAGCTCTTCCAGAGTCAGCTAACTGCAGCATGAAGCTGTCACCAGACACAGCAGAACAAAGCATGTTGCTAACAAATAAGTCATGCTTCCTAAATCCAACAGCAACCAAATAAGCCTACAGATCGTCATTTATAAAGAACAAGTGTCCTTTGAAAGAAAAGCAGAATTGTGTCCGTTTGGGGTGTAAAGAAAGAAGTAGAATAGTTTTTCCCTCAGCAATGTATGACTGCTGAATCTGCTAAATGCAGAGCTGACACACTAATGGTTAGATGGAATGGAATTGCACTTGTGCTCTTTACAATACATTAATGCACATTACTGCCTGGAAATGAGATTGCTTTCTTAAGAGATCAGAACACTGCATTCTTTCATGCTAAGCCACAGACAGATCAACAATGAAAAATAAGATTCGCAGTCTGTGTGGGTTTTACAGATTTGTCACAGTTCTACAGTCAAATTATCAGGTAATTCATTATGAATCCAAAAAAATAAGAAACAGCAAGAAAAAGAGCAGCAATGTACAGTCCTGGAACAACATTAACATGTCAGAAGACACTGCAGTCCCCAAGGGGGAAGCAAAGGAGTCATTAAGGCCTCCCTATAGATTTCCAGCTAAAGTAGAGAATCACTGCTCTTTGCATCTTGCCAGCTGCATTACTATTACCTTCTAGCCATGAAACAACAGCCATTCTGGGTGCAGCTGCTGTGTTTGGTACTTACATTCATGCTGCTCGTAGGGCGGATATGAAAGTCTTACAGAGATCAGGATGAAGAAGATGAACAGAGGCCAGGCAACTTCGATCAGCAGCTGGAACTGGAAACAATAAAGACAAAGTATTAAGACATCATATTTCAAAATACAGGTCTGAACAGAGGTTCCAGGACAATCCAGTTGTAAGACAGAATAGTTTTGTAAGCACTGTCTCATTTTGCTTTGCCTATGCATTCCAGGATCAAGAAGTTTGTTCCTCCAGCTTCAGAGGACAATCTGCAAAGAACTACAGGCTTTTCTCATTAATATGTGTCAGTTATTGGACTAAATTAGATGTGCTTGAAGGGCTATTTTGGTCTTCTTTGTGTAGTTCTTTTTGTGCCTTGACTGAAAAAAACTTTCCAATGAATCTTCCCAGCAATGAGCTGAATTTTTTGTTTCATAATTTGGAGGTAGTGGAAGGTCCTTATATCCCTTTCTCACTGTAAACCACCAAGCTTTTACTCTAACACATCAGGCATGGAAACTGTGCTGGTGCACAGCTATCCCAAATCTTTCACTGCTGCAGAAGTATATTAGTATGAGGGAAGAAGAACTATTAAGCTTAAGCTCATATCTAGTAATTGTTTTGTCCTAATGTACATTTGTTGCCCAAGGTAGGCACCCACTGGTCCAGGTTATCTACAGACAGGCAGGGAGTGTAAGGTAAATAAAGAAGTAACTCAGTAATTTAGAGGGACTAGACAAGAAAAAGAAAGACCTGCGTTGCATTTTTTAGACACAGAATTGAAGAGCAGAAGAAATTCACTGAGAAGGTTCACATCCCACAGAACCGTGTGGACAAAGCAACTCCTCAGCCTAGAGCTTCTGAGGCACAAGCTGAGTTTTCCCAGACCTGAGTTTTCCCCAGCCACACCCCTCTTCTCCCACTCCACTGCCCAAAACATGGGTTTTCAGAACTCCATGAGACAAGGAAAAACCAAAAGCTTTTTATGCTGCCGCTTCTTATGCTTTTCAGTTACTGGAAGTAGGACAGTGTTTTCTTGGTCAAGTAAAGAAAAACCTTTTCTTTCCTGGAACAGCCTTTTCTAATAAGAGGTCTACATCAGCCTCCTTAGAAGTCAGACCTGCACCCCAGTAGGAGACAGAATCCCCTAAACAAACATGTTTTCCCATGTTCCATCATTAACAGCTAAAAGTGGACTCTTGGCACTCAGCACAAGGCACTCCATGCAAACTTTGAGGTGAGACTTCTGAGTGACTACTGTTCCTCAAAACAAGCTCACTTTGTAAAAACAGAGTGTTAAAGCAAAGGCCACTTGATCCAGCAGAGGAAACTATGTAGGATGGCTTTTCACAGACACCCTTGATGGCTGACATCAAACCAAACAGCAACCCTATCTGAAAGGCAATTGAGCATCAGAGTCTCCCAGGCAGTCCTGATAAGAGTCTCGGTCTCTGCAAGATAATTTTGAGATACTGTTACCCATTGGACCTTGAGATTAGCTCAATTGGTTAGAGTATGGTGCTAGTAACACAGTGTTGCACATTTGATCCCTGTACGGGCCATTCTCTTAAGAGTTGTACTTGATGATCCCTTTGGGTCACCTCAACTCAAAATATGCTGTGATCTGTTATTTTCATGCACACAGTGTATGACAGCTGGCTAAGAAATAGACCACACTAACAACAAAGGTGCCAGGAAGATGCCTCAGCATCTTTGGTCTCTCTTATTACAATAAACAACGTAGTGGCGGCACACACTCAGCCACTAACACTGACAACCTGCTTTGCTCTGCATCAAACAGTGCTCTGGCCCCCAGAGATCAAAGATGCTCAGAGCTAGGGCACTGACAACTTGTCTGCACCTTCTGTTCTCAGGATCCCCTTACAGCTGCTGCCAGGGTGGCACAGCAGGACTTTTCCTCCTCTTGACAGAAGGGTGGCTGTGAAACCAAGACAAGTCCACCAGGATCAATGGCCATGCCCTGGCACAAGCAAGAGCCCTCTCCCACTCAGGCTGAGGGTGAGCAGAGTGTATGCCAAGCAACTGCCACTAAACTGTCTGGGGAAGGGTAGCATCAGCTGGGCTTGCAGGGGCTTCTGGAGATGACCAACAATGCCAGAGAGCCTCTCACAGCCCTACAGCTGCTACAGAACCAGCGAGAAAATGCTGCCCTTGAGTTCAAGCAACACACACAACACACCTAACCTGGCAGGTGGACAGGCTCAGAGAGGACAGAGGAAGGAGGGATGCAGCTTGGACTGACCAAGTTGCACCTCTACAGCTGAAGGTTGCTGCACCATAGTAGTCACCAAAATGCTACTTAATAAGAGGGAGCTGGCAGCTGCTGCACCAGAGGCTTGCACAGAGCCAAGCTCAGAGTGTCAGCAGCATCTCAACAGAGACTCCCTGTCCAGCCTTTTGTGCTGTTGAACAAAAACTGAATTACCTTCCTTTGCTTGCAAAGGGCAGCAGGTTCCTTCCTGATCTTGCTGTGACAGCACTTTCCACCCACTGTGGCCTTTGCAGATGAGGACACAAAGATACTAAAGGGGACATATCTCACTGATGTTCATACTGAGTAGATACTGAAAAGCCAAGCCTCCTCACTGACTTTTGTGCTGCAACTACTAGACCAGCCTGGTTGATACTGAAATCAATCTTGAAGCACCCAACCCCTCTGCTATCCCTGCTCCACTGAGAGCTGAAGGAGGAACATCCTGTTTGCACGCAGCAGGTGAATACAACAGCATTCAGCCAAGAACAAACTGCTCCATATTCTACCAAGGCTAATCCCTGAAGCACGCCAAATTTATCCCCGTTGCCTGATGATGCAGGGTGCCACTGAATATTGAGCTCTACACTGTGTCAACAGGAAATCTGTTGAGCAAGAATGAACGAAGCTATCACCCCATCCGCAGGGAGCTCCCAGCAGCTGACCAGTCTTTTCCATGCAAGTTTGAGGTGTCCCCTCACTAGCAAAAAAAAAGCAGGGAGAGAAGTGTTTTTAAACAATGACCCCTGAATGTGATTTTTCTTTCCAATCTCTCCCCCCCTCCCCGTGCAGACTCCTTCCCCCGGGCTCCGGTGGTGTTGGAAGTTATCCAGTACAAAGTAACACTTGAACTGCACATGTCAGGCTGAGCTTTGAACCCAGCTTTCGCAACGCAGCCCAAACTCACAGCAGCCAGCGAGGGGGTTCAGCGGGAAGCCAAGGCTAGCGTGTGTGGGAAGAAGGGCAAGGATCAAACTACCGGGTAACATCTTCGCTAAGTACAAATGGGACAGAGCCCCCATCAGCACACCCAGCTCAAGGACAGCGGTGTCCTAACAGGAAAACAAACAGATGGACAACTGTGCAGGCACGATAATAGCATGGTGGGAAGAGGCGTTCTGCTGCTCTTCTGCAACTCCCTGTGAAGTGGCCTTCCCCTCCCGACATCTTCAGGAGATGTTAATGGGGAAAACCCCCACAAATACGAGAAATCCCACTAAAACAAGCCACGCCCTAGACCCTCATAATGAAATTACTTATAGAAACAGAGTTTCAGGCCCTCTGGGGCACTTGACAGGAAACAGGTACTGAAGCTGCTGGTAGGTACCAAGACAGAGCTGAGAAGATCCAAAGTGGTTAGCCTGCTGTGTTTTTGTGGCATCAAATGATATAAAAGCATCTCTGCTGCCCAGTAAGCAAGCCTACACCTACCTTGACATGACATCCATGCTAGACTCAGACCTCTTCAAGAAAGCTTCAAACCTGATGCAACATTGGGGCTATTTAGCCTCGAGAAAAGGAGGCTCAGGGGAGACCTTATCTGCTCCTGTACAACTACGTGAGAGGAGGCTATAGCAAGATAAGGGTTGTTCTCCCAAGAAACTAGCAATAGCACAAGAGGACATAGTCTCAAGCTGTGCTAGGGGTCAGGTTGGACATAACTAATAATTTTTTTCACTGAAAGGGTGGTCAGGCACTGGAACAGGCTGTCCAGGGAGGTGGTGAAGTCACTGTCCCTGGAAGAGTTCAAGAAATGACTGGACATGGCACTTAGTGCTATGGTTTAGTTGGCATGGTGGTATTCAGCTAAAGGCTGGACTTGGTGATCTTGGGAGTCTTTCCCAACCTAAATGATTCTGTGATTCTATTATTTTCAGAAGATCCTGACAAAAAAAAAAAAAAAAAAAAGCCATCATCCTCAGTGTAAAACTAAGCTCATCTGAAACATCCTCCTGGTTTAACCAGTTTAAGCATTGTTCCAGATAATCACACATCTTAGAGTTCTCTTACATTCTAAAGGCAGCTTTGGAGGAGTCAAGAGTAAGGGAGTAAGGATGTATTTAGCTCCAAGAGCCTAGGTTACGTAGGCAATAGCTGAGAAGAGCCAATCTTAAGGGGCTATAGCCAGTTTTGAGACTGTTTTCCCCAGGTCATTTGCAACTTTTTTATAAATTATGAGGCTGTTCACAAGGTCAGGATGCTGGCCCATGCATCCAGAGAGCAGACAACCTCACTCCTTGCAGATGACACAGTCCACAGCCTCTCTGGTGGGGCAGTTCTGTCCTGGGAGATCAAGACTCATGAAGCAAGGGCAAAAACATGCAAAACAAAAACTCTGTCATCACTGTCAGCTCTGTAACCACAGAGGTATACAGGAAAAGTCGAAGATGCCATGAGGCACCTTTGTTTTATTTAAGAATGGACTATTTTCAGCCCCGAAATGACTCTACAAGTCCAATAAAAACAAACCTCAGACACCTGAGTGAAGACTTTCAGGACTGTCGCTGTCTCCAGCGGTGAATATGATAGCCTCCCCTCCCTTGTGACACTGAGTTTCTAAAACAACCCAACCCAACCAGCTGGCAAGCACCCTGACATTTGGAGGGTTCAGAAAGCTAATCAGACCACTTTCCACTCACCACCTCAGTGCTTCATGTTCCTTTCACATTCCCTCCTCATGCCTCCTCAAGGTCAGAACTAACCTTCTGGATCCTCTGAACAAGCCTATTGCACAGGACATGCCTTAATCCAGCACAGCTATTCCCTAAATGCCTATGCCCAATAGTATGTTTTCTCTGGCTCTTAGCTAATCTGCAAGAGTTACAGCATTCTATAACCTAAAGGCAAAAGAATTTTAAGAGCACCGTGCTAGATTCACACCCCGGCGCCCTTGTTATGGCACAGAGAAACTCTTCTTACATATTGTCTACCTGAACAGATACATTTCCACACCATTAACAGACGGTGAGCCTAGCACCTAAAACTACTCAGAACACACCTTAGTAGAAAAATATCAGTTGCCTAAGCTTATCCCCATGCCAATACAAGAGCGTGCTCCATGCCACTCACTTAATCTGTATCTCCTGCTGTAAAGTTACACAGCAGGTTTGGGATTCCCTCCCTCATTGAAGTGACTGGAGATGCCTGCTATTGCCTCCACCATTTCTGCCATCTGGAAGTGGCAGAATTTTGGCACTGTTGTTGCAGCTTGCAATATTCAAAAGCTTTTCAATTTGAACTGGGTCTTTCCAAAGCCAGACTAGTTGCTCAGCCAGGGACCACTAGAGGAAAAACAGTAAGTAAAATACAGGATGTTTCCCTATTTTGCTTGAGAAGTAAGCTAAAAGGCTCCAGCTTAAGATCTCAAAACACCCTTTGGACAATACTTACGGTCTGTCTTCTTCTGTAGGTGAAGTTCTTCCATAGCAGCAATCCCAGCTGCGTCCAGAAAGCCATCTTCCCTCAGCAAAGCCTAGAAGCTCCCTTTGTGCAGCAGCGGCAGTACACAGCTCAGATGTTTGTGGCCGGGCATTAACTAAGGACAGAAAACAGAAACAGGAAAAAAAGTTGAAAGGGAGTCACAAGAGAAAAGGCAACAAGATAGGGAGAGACAAGAGGCAGCACTCTGCGACCTTGCAGCACCCACGTGGCACTTCCCTACAGCCTCCTTACCCCATGCACTCCAGCCAAGCCTCACTGGTCTCAGCAGGCTTAGATCTAGGTCCACTGTCTCTTCCCTCAAAGCTCCAAAGGAGTTCTGCAAGACAATTTTCTTCCTTCCTGGCCCAAAAATTCCAAAAGCAAGAATGGCCCAGAACAAGAAGAGTACTAGGATTTGAAAGCTGATTTAAAGACCCTTCTGAACGAGACAGAATCATGCATTTCAACTCTTATTCTTAATGCCTCTTCCCATATTTACTTTTACAACGGTGAAAAGCCTGCTGCCAAATTAGCAAAGCCTTTGTTTTGAAGTCCAGTCAGTACCACCACTTCTGGGAGAAAGTGCTTCGCTTTTAATAAGCAAGGGAGAAGCATCCATTTCCTTGAAACTAAGAATGACCCCAGAGTTGTTAATATCAGGATAAAGTGAATGGAAAATTGCTGTTGAGTCAGTGTTCAGGTTTTGCTAACACCTGGCCTCCAGCACTGTTGAGAATTAGGTGCATTAAGCATGCATCTTGCTGGAGTATGAGAGTATAAAGGGTTAAAAAAATACATCAATCTCTTTGGTGGCTATTAATAATAGCGTGGTCTAGGTTTGGGTACACAACCTTCCAGGAGGACTCAATCGTACAGAAAGATGAGCTTATAATACATTAGTTAAGTGTCACTAAATCTTTTTTTTTTTTCCCCAGAATTAATGTGGCATCATTTAATATACTTCTGAGTTTAAGACCACTTCAAATTAAGAGCAGTTTAATTCTGAATAAGTGTTCACACAGGAATTAAGTTAATCCACACTAAATTAATTCTGATTTATGTACCTGAATATACCCTGTCGACAGACTCAGTGTTAACAGGATAACTAGCAGCTGATCCAAACACACAGGAAGAGAATCATTCCTTCAAACACCTGTTAAACTGGGAACACACATGCTTTTGATTTTGGAGTCCCACAAACTCGTACCTTAGTCCTATGATTCAGAGTTGCCTGCCTGATTGCAAACTGCATTGAAAGGGTTCCCAAAATCCATAAATGTACTAGGAAAGTGACACCTCCTCGGGAAATGCTCTGATCAGTCCTACACTGGAGTTCAGATTAGAAGTTAAATGGCAATTCTGGATGGGAGCTCTGAGCTTTGATGAACAATTGTGATCTTTAAGTCTCATCCAAAAGCAAATTCCATTATTGCAATGACTTGCAGATTAAAAACTTCCCTTAATAACAAAGGCCTGTGATACAAAAAAAAAATTTCCCTAACATGACTAACAAAATAAATTAAACGCATTACACTGAGCTCTACAGATAATTACACTGTAGTATCACAACAAGACAGCAGCGCTTCCTAATGCCAGCACAGAGAACCAAAAGAACAATAACAGATGCCTACAAAACCCTACAAATTGAACCTCATGTCAGCACACAGGCAGCTGGGTGTACAGTCAGCATGGGCTCATTAACTTCTGTAGGTGCTGCTGTAACTCACAGACATGACCTCTACAGATGCTTCTTCACAGAGGGATGCCCACCACTAATCTGACAGGAGAGCCATCCTTCCCGGCCCAGTGCTTCCTGCTGGCTGGAGCACCGTGCCACTCATTAACACATTCCAGCTGCATGCACATCTGGCTGACAGGATTCTCAGACGTGCTTACAGCGAGGCCCTTGACAGGCCACAGCAGGGAAAACGACCCTGCTCTTATTGGGGGATCTCAGGAGGACAAACCCTGGCTGCTGATGACTGTGGACCCAAAGCACACCTTTGCTCACAGGTTTGGGTGGGAGGTGGGGGTTGCAGCACCTCCCCTGCATGCCAGTGCTACACATTTAAAAGCTGCAATTAACGTGTAACCTAGCAACCAAACCAAGCAGGGAATATTATCACCTCTCCTTAGTACCTTCTCCACTGTCCTATTTCCGCTCAGGATTTGGGGATTTTGGCAGCGCTTTTACTCACACTACTGAGAAACCTGGATTGCTACTCACACAGTACACAGGCAAGCTACAACCACTAACCTGGTGCAAAATCTCTTCACAAGACACTGGGAGAATTGCTCCTTTCAAGCATTTATCCACAAGGATACTGGTACTGGTTTGCTGTGCTGTCCGAGATGCCATGAAACATAACCCTTTCTTCCTGAGTCTAATCCTGTGGCTACTGCACAAGTTTGGCACACAGGAGCAGAGGACAGGAAGCGACTGTACAGCCTTCTACAGTCAGTGGTATTTATGTAACAGGGGTGGTTTTTTTTTTTATCTTCAGAATTGTGTTCAGAGTACCCACTCCATATTTCAATCCCAGCCCCCCAGAACTGTTAACTCTCTGCAATAAACTGATTTCCAATGCTTTCCAGCAACCAAAGACCCAAATCCCTGAGTACGAAATGCCACAGGAAGAGTGAAAAAAGGATCCCACTGAGTCAAAGAGGCCTTTGGCATTCTCCTCAATGGAACTAGACCCTACTCCTGCACTTTAACACTCTGCACAGAGGCAAAATGAGAGTTGAGGCAGTCTGTGGGACGTTTGAGCCAACGTCAGGGCAGCCGATTCAATGCCTATCAGCAAAAATCCAAATATTTATCCCTCGCAATTGCAGTCGGCTCACAGGATCCAGAACACGGAAATGCTGCTTTACAGAGGTTGTAGCACGCACATCACAGTAGCAGACTGCAGTGAGAGAGGGCACACATTTGATCATTCAGCTCATCTCAGCTGACCAGCAGAAGCCTGCACAGCCAGGAAGGCTCAGCTGTGCCGCCTGCTTGAACTTCAGTTCTCTGGAGTTCGGCTAAACTTCGCTGGGAACAACGCAAATGTCCTGGCCTTCAAATAAGACCAGTTTGCCCAGATACAAGTTTCATATGATGCAAAAATACTGACTTTTAAGGACTGCCCAGTTGCAAGCATAGCAGCTAAGTCCCTGCATTGAACGAGGGCATGGAGCCTGACACTGGACTGATCACCAAGAGCACAACCCCTGAACCTGAAGCATATCCAGTTCTTCTTCCAGCCATGCTGGGTGACTGCTGCAATGACAACACTCTGTGCCCCATTATCTGTTACAAACTGGGTAACACAGGTTTGTTAGTGCCTCTGATTTTCATCCACAAAGGCTGACATATTTGGTTCACTGCTGACACAAGTTAACCAGGTCCACTTGAATTACTAATCCATCAGAAAGCGCTCTGCAAGCTAAGAATATCAGAGGAAAATGGATTAGCACCCTTTCAGATATTCTTCCAGCTCACTATAAGCAAGAACTGTATGACAGAGATGCAGAAAAGTGATAGACCCAACACTTCCAACTCAGTTAGAGCTAAAGTCCATCTGTATCTCCATTTCAGACCAGTCTGATAAGTTCAACATAGCTGGGAAAGCCCAACTTTACATTTAGCACTGCAATGCCAAAACACAGCTCGTTTCCAATGCATGCTTTTTGTCTCACCTATGTAAAATTTTGAGCCAACAGCAGCTATCAGTGATAGCTCCTGACACTCACCCAGAACTCTCTGAAGCAGAAATACTGTTTCTGTCTAAGGTAAGAAAAGTGTCAAGAAATCATCCCCATAGCACTAGTTTTCTGTGACATAAAGTACCACAGTAGAACATGGACTGGCACAATTAAAGCACAGAGTCCACGCACTGTCCCAAGGTCTGCCTTTGCAGAAGACTCCCTGCACATGACATGCTGCCCTGCTGCAGAAAACCTGCACAGCCTCCAGATCTACAGGGCTGCAATTTCATCTCAGTGTGCAATTCAGAAAATTGGTCTCAAAAGAAAGTTAGGCTGCAGGGCAACTTCTGAAAACGATGACAGAGAAAAGCAGTCTTTGGCCAACTCTCTTTCTAGAACAGTGCTATCCACTACTTAGAAATAAAATGGCTGTGGAAAAGTCCATTTGCTGGTATACCAACAGTCTCCAGATCTAATCCACCTTAAATACAAAGAAATGTATTTTTACAGCTGTAGATATAGAGAGGAAAAACCTCAAGTGGCAGAGAATCCGTTCTCCACCCCCATGCCTGGTGTCTGTACTAAGTAAACACAAAATGGCCTTCAAAAGCAGCTTTCTGCAAACAATGCAGCTGTTTGCTTTCTTGGAGGGGAGGGAAAGAGGGGGGCAAAAAACTCTTTCCCCTGGAGAAAAAAAAAAAAAAAATCACTATTTCAAGAGGGAACAAAATGAACTTAACAAACGTTGAAACTGGAACACTTCATAATTCTGGCAAGAGACTATGGACAACTTTAACTAAGTCCTTGTCAGCAGAGCTAAAAAGCTTTTATTAGTTAATGAAGGTTCAGTGGCCTCTGTGAAATCAGTTAGCAGCCTCTGTCCTCTCAGATTTTCCACATCACAAGCTACCAGCACTCGCAACTCTCCTCAGATCAAGCGGCCATGGAGAGTGCCAATCTGAAGGCCACATATGATGCCCTTTATGAGGGCACAACAGGCATTATTTGGTGGATGAAGCACAGGTTTGAGCTACTAGAGCCAGCACTTTCCCCTGCCACAAGCAGACATGGTCCACCATTTCAGGCTTTCTGTCCCAGACAAAATGTTGTACATCTGCTTAACTCCGACAGATCTTGTCTACATAATTATCACATAAGTCAAGTGAGACCCACTTTGAAAGAAAAGCAGCAGCTAAGGCACAAATGTCATATTTCAGCAGAAGTATAGTCCTCCTTGTGAATGCTGATAGATGTCTTATCATTCGATTTCTTTTAGGTAGTGTCAGGCTGCATTTTGTGAGGTGAACAGGATCATGAGCCACGTGAATTCTGCAAAGCCCAGTGATCCACACGCCATGAGTTGAGAGCAGGTCCCCACAAGGACTGTACACAGAACAACAGGACAGAAGTGTCTCCCTTATGAACTGACATTCTGACTCTCACAAGGTAAACCCCCAAGAACCAGCATCCTGGATGGAGACTGGTGTAACAGAGGCACAGGCTAAGCCAAGAGTCCAGAATCAAATCCCCATCTCCCAAATCTAGGTCTAGTGTCTTGGCCGCTTCTCTGCCAAACACATGGATTCTCCTCCTTCCAGCAGAGTAGCTGTAGCCAAGAGACTTACTCAAACACAACTGCATCCACTTTGTAGAACTTAGAACTGTGCAAGGCCACAAAAAGCTCTCAAGGCGTAAGTATTGGGAAGACATTTTCACTGTAACTTCCTCAATTCCCAGAAAGCACCTTGCACGCATGCAATTTCAAATGAGACTAAAGGAAGAGGAAAAAGCAGTATTAATCCAGACTCTGTTAAGATTAGGCCAGATAAGGAGCAGCTGTGGACAAATGTAAGTAATTTTTTATTCTGCTGCTAATCATCTAGTTGGAGCTAATATCCACAGGAGAAACAGGAAGTGCATAAAGAACCAGAAGTCGTGTCCATTGTGATCAAAACTCACACAAAGCTTGCAAAACCCAAAGGAACAAATCTGACACTTCCACCTCTAAAACTTACGACACCTACTGGGGCTCTAGGAAAGAGGGGAAGCTGCCACCTATATAATGATAATTTTATATAAATAACAGTTTTGACCTTTTAATGTTTTGAGCCAAAGAGCCTGAACTAGGTTACAAAGAGGTGCCATATGAAGCATTAGCAGCACAGAGTTCAAGCAACTCACCTGGGGCCACAAGCACACAAAGCAGAGATTAGAACAAAACCATCAGATCCCACACGTCCGTCTCCTGGGTTAAGCACGGCTGGACTCTGTAGCAATCACAACCAGTGCAGGATCAGCAGTGGAGGTGTGAGCTTTGAACCTAGAGCCTTCTGCCTGGCACACAGGATCGTTATCAGCGGAGCCACACAGACACTAAAAGCACGTCTTTCATAACCTCCCCACAGAGGACATTTCTCTACCATTTGCCAAATGAATACAGGACACAAAGTTTCTTATTCCATTTCAAGAGTCATTCACAGAGAAGTGCTTTCCTCTTCAAAATCACCCAGGGTCACGTCACAAGAGTTTGCACCAACTCCTTGTTCCTAAGAATGTGATTGGAGAGCTTCTGGGTCAGCAGGCAAGAATTAGGGCGACAAACAACAGCATTTTAGTGGCAATTCTTGGCAAGATCCTCTACTAGTTTACATCAGTTCACACACTGACTACCTGCTCTTAGGTTAGGTAGTAAACAGGTTCTGGCCTTGTCCTCCAGTGCTCACCAATACTGAAGGCAACTAATATATTGCTTTCAACATGGCCATCCACATCAGCCCTCTAAATAACAGTGATTTGTTTGACAGGCACAATTTTAAGGATCCATCTTTGTGATAATTCACAACCAGTTTAACTCATTCTCCCTCCCTGAGGAGGCCTGACAAATTTTATAAAACCATCATTTAAAGAATAAAGCCAAAATACCAGGAAGCTGATGAAGGAGTCTCATGGAACACCTCCAGTGACCTGCCATCTCTGGTCCAAGACACATAGCCTCTCACTCATCCATAGGGTCCTTGAGGCAGCATGCACACAGCCACAAAACACTGAATAAACTACTTCATTATTTAAGGGGGCTCCAACCTCACAGAAAATTGGAGACAATCAATGGAAAAGAACTCCATTTAGCAACAGGCCAACAACAAAACACCCACAAGCTGCTTGAACTGCTGCTATTAAAACAACTAGTGACAAAACCCAAGCCCAGTATTAGGTTCTGCTCACTGCACTGGGTACTACACATTGAAGTGAGCCTGGATTTTACTCTGACAAGACTTGGTCTTAACATAACATCATGTTAAGAGCAGAAACTTGACTTCCCAAATCTTTAGACAAAACAGCAAGGGGTTTCTAAAGATATTTAGCCTTGGCATGAGAACTGAGAAAACTGATTTTTCATAAGTCAGTATTTTATGTGCTGAGTCCTTCTGAATGCTCCACTCTGGACAGATGAGCACATGACAGTTTTCAAAGACCTCGCCCAGATTTAACACAGCGAGCACTGACATTCCTGGCCCTCAGCTCTTCAGAGTACCTAACCTGCCTCCTCTGCCAAAGCCAAACCCCCAAAGATGTATTTCTGGGACACTGGTGGGCCTATCCTTACCAATTAGAAATAAGCCATAGGGGACAGTTTTCTCTAGAGTCAGCACTAGTTAACAAAGTACACCATAACACAATCCTGACTACAATTTCCAGAGTCCTCAGCACCTCCTTACACACTTATACAGATATATATTTCCAAAAAATGGCTGCTGTTTTACAACATTTCCTTTTGACACAACACGCCAAGTCATTTTGAAGAGCCTGTCACAGGTCAGCCTCCCAGAATGACCAAAACAAACGGCTCTCGTTACTTCCAGCATGCTTAAAAGGCTCATTGATGAAAACAAGCACAGCTCCAATGCGATGGAAGATGTCTAGTTTGCATATACCACAGCTGGGCTGACCTAAAGGAACGCACATGCAAGGGAACGTGGCATGCACTTAGGCAAGAGGAATTGCTTAAGTGCCAAGTGTAAGACGCAAGATGAAATGCAGTAATCTATTTTACAAAAAAAAAAAAATTGCTTCCAATAGCTAAAAAA